AACTTAACTAGAAATTAGCATTAGTGCAGCTTTAAGTAACTTAAAGCTAAACATCAGGTTAATGATTGGTAGGAATTCAGGAAAAACCCAGCTACAATACAATACAATACAACCTTCTGTGGTTGTATTATGAGAGTAAACATCTGTCTAGTTGAAAAAAAATACCCCATGTTATCCTTAAAAGTTATCATCTATTTTTTAATAAAATATATTTTATATGAACCAGTGACTATTGTCCATATTAAGTAATTTTAATTCAAAATTAATATTTCACAACTATTAGTTATAGTTAAAGAAAGTACTACTTCTAAATGGCACTAGAGGTTTTTGAAAATATTTTCCAGGAAGCAATTTTAAATTTAGCAATACTTAGTTTTACAACTCTCACAGAATACATAAAAATGTAGGTAATTGTGAATGATTCTTTTAATCAGATTCTCTTCAAGCATTCCATAGGGTATATTAACTTATTATTTCATAACAATTTATTCCCACATTTCTTTTATACATCTAATGGGTCATAAACCTGTGTTCCAAAATATACTTCTCTCTTACCAAACAGCACCAGAGAGAGAAATTAGGCATATGAAATATATGAGATAAATACATATATAACAGACGTAAGTTTTATAGTCTTCTATACAAAAGTGGAATTCTATGATATGCAAATGATAAATAAAGCTTGTGATTTCTGTTATTGTATATATGTTTCTGATCTGCACCTGAATTTTAATGGATGGCAGAAAAATAGAATCAGCTCAGTCCAATTATTCCTTGGGAATTCAAGGTCTGTTTCATAATCTGATTCACAAATACCATCTAGGGTTTTTTTTTTTTTTTTTTTTCTGCCTCTTTGCTTTTTTTAAAATATTTTTTTAGTTGTAGATGGACATAACTTTATTTATTCTTATGTGGTGCTGAGGATCAAACCCAGGGCCTCACACATGCTAGGCAGGTGCTCTACCACTGAGCCACAACCCCAGCCCTGCCTCTTTGCTTTTTTGGCCCTGAGAGGTACAGGTAATATGAAGTTGGGAGGGCCTAACATATAAGATGGGTATAAGTTGGTGGTGAGAAAAAGAGCCCCTCTCTGAATCTCTAGTTGGTGTCTATTACTGGATTAGTGATTAGATCTTTATTCTCTATATATGAGATAACTCAATGTTGACTCCTAAGATAACATTTAAAATGAGAGAAGTTTCCTGTCTGGACCCAGGGTAGTTTCTTTTCCTTAAAATAAATAAATAAATAAATAATTGTGTGTGTGTGTGTGTGTGTGTATATATATATATATATATTTAGTTGTAGATGGACAAGATGGACACAATACCTTTATTTTTATGGAGTGCTCAGGATCAAACCCAGTACCTTTCACATACCAGGCGAGCACTCTACCACTGAGCTACAAACCCAGCCCCCAGGATAGTTTCTTGATGTGAGTAAATTAATTATCTTTTCCACAATCTCAATTCTTGGCTTTGTCCTATGGCCAAAGCACAAGGTTGTCTACATCCAACCTGGGGAGATCTCCTGACAGAACCAACTGTTTCTCTTTTACCCCACTTCCTGAGTCTTCCACTTGCACGTGAGTGAGGTTTATGGCTCCCCTCCATATCTAACTATTCAATCTACTAAAATGGGAGGTATCTTGCAGTGTTTTGGCTTTTTTTTTATCTTTAAAATGTAATTAATAATAGCAGTTGCTTTCACAGTGATGCTGTAATTAGCAAATGAAATAGTAAATTCCTGGAGAATTTACTAAATTTGAGAATTTAATAAATTTTCTGTCCCAAAAAAGAAATAGTGAAGGAAAAAAGGATGAAAATGTAAGAAAAGAATACATTATCAGCTTTTTTTTTTTTTTTGGTAGTAGGCATCGGGGATTGAACCCCAGGTACTTAACCACTGAGCCACATTTCCAAGCCTTGAACTTGTGATCCTTGTGCCTCAGTTTCTTGAAAGGCTAGGATTACAGACAGCCATGAGCCACCATGCCTGGCTACTTTTTGTTTTTTATTTTGAGACAGGGACTTGATTATTTGCCCAGGGTGGCCTCAAAGTTGCAATCCTCCTGCCTCTTCCTCCAGAGTCACTGTGATTACAGGTATTCACCATTTTACCCTGCTTATCAGCTGTTTTAAACAGCCATATCCTAATAACCTGAAAACCTGAATCCTTTAGTTGCCTCCTAATAATGTCATGGTTGAGGAGCTTGACAATATTAGTAGAATCCCCCAAGCATCTGGCAGAATACTGCTAATTTACCTAGATTTTTCAAAAATCTGTTGATGTTATAGACATCAATAAAATTAAGGTTTATTAAGTACTCCTAGTGATTCTTGCAGAGGGGAATACAAAGGAGAGCATATAGTGCAAACTTGACATTGGACAGGTCTTCATGTATGCCTCATGAGTTTTTTCTTTTGTCTGAAACAAGGACATAAATGAACATTCTGTGGGAAGAGCTGACATGATTTCCCTACTGTTTCCTATGTGCATCATAAATGCCTTCTGATTAGTAGTCAATAAAGACTATTTAATAATAGAAGCAAAGTCCTAGAGTGAAAATTAATTTTCATGGTCAGATGACATATATAATGAATCTACTTATTTTTCTGTTTGATTAGAATATAATTAATCCTACTTCTAGTTTAGGAAATTAGGTCTTCCAAAGTAAATGTTTTTTTCAGACATTAAACCACTAAAGAATTTGATGACTTTAAAAACTAATAGTCCTTTTTTGGGGGGGAAGACCTTTTTGAAATTTGAATTATTATTTTAAAGACATTTCATCTAATGGATTCTCCAGTTTCTCTTTTGATCTTTATCTGCCTTATTAATTGAATGCCCATAAAGATGAATATTAATAGTAGCTTTACTTTCTATGCTCGGTATCTATTGGTTGATCTTGCTTCAAAGTAACTGACTTCTTTGTAGTATTAAGTTACTCTAATTTCCTACCTCCGTGCCTTGTATTTTCCTCTGGAGAAAAACCTTCCAGGGCATGACCTAATGAATTCTGGTTCAAATTTCCAAATGAATTTGAACCAAAGTGATTCTGTAATTTGGTGGAGGGAACCTTCATTAAATACCCTAGTGAGTGAATTTTTACTGTTTCATACCAGACTAAAGAACTTTTCTTGACGTATTGAAATTGAACTTTAACATTTATGAGAATATAAAATGCAGCAGCACATTGTAACATGTCATGGGTGCAATGGAGCCTTAGGTCAAGGGTTTTTACTTTCTTTAAAACTTCCATTAAAAATAGCAGTGTTTCTAATTATTTTTCCTTTAAAAATTAGAAAAATGTGTCCTGCTCTACAGAGAGATGTTATCTTCAGTTATTCCCATAATTTATATGGTTGCTTGGGGTATGTATTTATGGTTTTTATTTGGCTTGACCAAAGTACAAATTCAACTTTATAGGTATGGCTAGTTAGCCTTTTCTTTTAAAACATCAATGTGGTTTTCTAATTGACTAAGTTAATTTTGGTTTTCTCATCTTTATTCATGACTCACCTCTGTCATCTTGTCACAAAAGCTTAAGACACATCAGTTTTAAGAGAACATTACTCCATATTACACGTAGGACCTACAACCATTTACTACTCTTGTCAAATCATAATTATGCCATGTGTGCATCTGTAATTGATTTGGCATTTTCCTGTAGCATTTCTTCAATACCTTTCAAATATGGTCACAAGATTCCAGCTCCACATGTATAAGGTTCTTTGATCTTATATTCTACTGTCTTTGAAGAAGTATCTAATGATACATGATGGTATGATCATAAAACATTCTATTTTGTTTTCATTGGTGCTGCAGTTTGAATCTAGGACACCCTGTATCCCCCTGCCCTTTAAAAAATTTTTTTGAGACAGAGTCTTACCAAGTTGCTCAGGCTGGCATCAAATTTACTGTCCTCCTGCCTCTGCCTCCCAAGTAGATGGGATGATAGGAAGGCACTCCTGTACCCATCTTATTTTATGTTTTGAAGACTAAGTAACTGGGTTTGTCAACATCTGACATTTTATTTCTTCTGTTAATAAATTGGCAGAACCTAGTTTTTTTTTCCTGTGAATTACAAGAATAGGCAGTAAACAGATTTATCTGTAAAATTCAGTGTGCATCTTATTTGTATAAATCAGCTTTGCCACTCATGTGATATCTGTCTTATCACTTATGTGATATTTGTTCAAATAGCTGACCCAGCTGTTTGAAGGCTAAGGGAATTTAATTTACTGAAAGTTGGAAGGCTTGAAGCAACAGGAAATAAGGTAGCCCCAATGGTCAAGGGAGTGTGATATTGTAGCAATCCTTTATAGGGAGAGTCTGGCCAGGACACAACCACATTGCTTCTACAATGTCAGTGAATTATGGCCATCCTTTCATCTTTCTGTCAGTCAGGAATTAAAATTCCAAGTGAGAACATTCAATTATCTGAGATTAGGTCTTGTTGCCCACTCTAGTGGCCAAAGAGCAAAGAGAGGGATAATCTGGTTTTTGTTTTTTTTTTGGTGGGGGATAAGGGGGACCATACAAAATGCAAAGGTTCCCCTGAGATAGTGACTTTTCTAGATAGAATGAACAAAATTTTTTTAAACGTGCAAATGTTCACTATTTCCATAAAAAGCTCAACTAAATATTAATTTTAACAACTCACTTTTTTAAAAAGAAGATTTTTCTGAGACATCATGTTGAGATTGGTGTCTCAACATTATGTGGTTAAGCTAAGAAAATTATAACTTTTCTATTTGCTAGTATGTAAATTTAAAATACCGATACCTACTGAATAGGATTATGTTGAGATACTATTTACAATGCTTTAAACATAAAAACACATTCATTGCAAGCACTCAGTTTTCTATATGGGTGACTTACTCTTTAATTGGTGTGATTGTAATTTTTTAAAGTTAATATTTTTTGCATGATGGTTCTGTTCACCTATCTGCAATTTTAAAATACAAAGATGTAATTTTTTTTTTTTTCCCTTACAGACAGGCAAGCCTGAATGAAGCAGCAGAGAAGTATTATGATCTGGCAGCCAGGCTGAGGCCTAATGTAAGTACATTTCTAATGAGAAGCATTATTCAGAGGCACAGTCTCAATGAATATAGTTTTGGGATTTCGATGCATCATGATACTAGGGTTTTGTCCTAATCTCCTATTTTGAATGCCAATGATACAGCTAGTCCAACAAAGAAATCTATTAGTCTCAAGCTTCTTCCCCGACTCCAGAGGTAAAATTGATGTTTTCTAGCTGTGTAAAGAACTATAAATTTTTATCATTTGCATACAGGTTTTAGTTTTTCTAAATACTTTACATTTGGATGACTTTTAAAATTCTTTGAAAAGTTTTTTTTTTTTTTAATTTTTGATGTGGTATTAAATACCTATTATTTAATTCTCAGCTACAGATAGATCTTGAAGCATGTATCTTTTTGACTTTATAATACCCATTTCTGAGAACTGCTTTTCAACTTTATCAAAAAATGTTTTCATTGCAAGTTTTCCTTGAGTAGTCACACTTCTATAACATAAAATGGATATAAATTAGATCATTACTATTGAAATAGAGTAGCTATTTCTGAGAAAATAAGAATGAGTTTTGTATCCATCTTCTAAACATTGTTTTTGCAGCACCTCACTGAATTCTAGCCCATTGTTTTTATTCTCATATGCATTCTGCCTCCCTCTGCAATGCTAAAAATTTCTGCCCTGCTCTCCAGATATAGACCATATATCAAGAAATGTAATTTTAAAACAGGAATGAAAGTACTAGTGTGAGGTGAGTACAAATAATGGGATCAGTTTCATTTCGCTATAGTAGCTCATCTATTGGGCAAACGTCTGTAAAGTGCCTATTTTGTGCCTGGATGCAGAGATTTCATATTGTACTCTACAAGACCACACAATGTAGCAGAGAAGACCCAATGTCATCAACTAATTGAAATACAGTGATATAATGTGGCAGTTTCTCTAGAGGCTGTACAGTCCTCTGGGAGCACAGAAGTGGAGGATTGATGTAGCTAAAAGAGACTTACATGGGAAGTGGGGGGTTTTTTGTTTGTTTGTTTGTTTTTTTTTTTTTTTTTTTGAAAGAAAAAGTAATGTAATAAGTCTTCCTTGCCTATCACATGGTTCATGGCAGAGACCTATGTAACAAAAAACAGATTAACATACACATTTGTTTAATCAAAGTTTTACATGTGTCAGAAATGAAGACACAAAGAAACAAGGAAATCTGTGTTTTTGTTTTTGTTTTTTATGGCTGATTGTGTAGAAGTGCAATTGGAGAACAAATTGGTAACCTGTTATGATAATTAATTGGAAGAAGCTTAGTAAGGCCTATGTGCTCAGATTCTTTGATGTGTCCCTGTGTCTTCAGAGAGAAGGAAGTTAATGAAGCTCTTATGACTATGTCAGGGGAGAAAATGGGGGGGGGGTCACAGAGTGGGCCTCTTAATTTCTTTTAAGTGCTCAGTATTGCAAGATACCATGTTTTGCAATGACTCTTCTGATTCCCTTCACATTAATTGTGTGATGCTTCAAAAACTGATAAATTCTTTACAATGAAGAAAATAATTTAATAATCCCAATGGTAAGAACAATGATGGCTTAAATGTTTTAAGCATTTATTATATTATGATTCACATTTCTTGGTTCTATTGTTCTTTTCTTCCCATATTTTTTTACTGGTGCATTATACATACTGGTGGGATTTGTTGTTATATATTTCTACATGCAACAGTATCATTTAGCCAATATCACTCCTTAGCTCTTTCCCCTCCCTTGTCATTCCCACCCCTTGGTCCCTTTTCTCTACTGATCTTCCTTTAATTTTCATGAGATCCCCATCTTTCTTTTCCTGTTTCTTCTCTAGCTTCTGCCAATTAGAGAAAACATACAACCCTTAACCTTCTGAGTTTGATTTATTTCACTTAACATAAGGGCTTTAGTTCCATCCATTTTCCTGTAACTGACATAATCTCATTTTTCTTTATGGCTGACATCGTTAGGTTCTAACTCTTGAGTTTTTTCATCCCTTTCTCACAATTCCCATTGGGCAGAAGGTTAGAGAAGTTAAGGATTCACACGGCATCATAATTAAGTGGAATCATGTTGTAATCAAGACCATGGTGCGTATATAAGGGAAAGCTTTATTGAAAAATTGTGGCTATATATTTAAGATGAAATATAATCGGAAGTCTGGGAAATAAAAATCACCTTACTTATTTAGTAAACATTTACTGAGTCTCAGGCCTTATTATAGACATGGATATACAGGAGTGAAAATAATGGGCAAGAGTGCCTGACTGTTAGGAACTTTTAAATTGTTCCTAGCCTAAGCAGATAAATGAAGGTTACAGTATGTCAGACAGAGATAAGTGCTTGGTTAAAAAAGGAAAGAAAATGAAGCAATGTAAAGAAGTTAGGAAACACAGAAGGGATGGCCTTGTAAATGCCCAACTTGGGCATCTTTGTGCACTCTTTCTAAGAAAAGAATTGATTTTACAGTCTTAAACTTGTTATTGTATTTCATAGAAGGCAGGGATCAGGGTTTTCTTTATTTTTTCTTTTTACACTGATTAATAATTCCTGTATATTAATCATAATACAGGAATTTAATTCAACTTTTATTCATTTTGTGCCATTTGAGGGTTACTTTTATTTTGTTAAGTGGTTGGCCAGACGGGGGTCTTCAGCACAACATCATGGAATAGCGAGAGAAAACAACTAAGTTATCTGACCTATACTAGAAATGAAAAAGATACTCGGGCACTGCAAATCAAGCCTGACTGTTGAGATTATTTATTCTAAATGACTGGACAAATGATGAAATCAATATTTAATCTCCAACTCAAAGCTATTTTGGGCCCCCAAAATGTTGATTCATAAACATGCTCAAACTTTTGAAAATATATTTATTCAAATGATATTTTCCTTATCTAGTTCTGGATTTTATTAGTCTAGTTAAGTAAGGTTTGACTGAGGCAAGAATGATAAAATATAAACCATAGTGATAATCTAAATTGAAACAATGAGACCTATTTAATAGGCTATGATTTATTAGGAGTTTTGCATTTAATCTAAATTAAAGCACCCACCTAACATCAACTTGCTGTTTACTACCTTTGTTCATAAAGAACAATTCTTTGCAGGCTGGGGGTGTGGCTCAGTGGTAGAACGCTTGCCTAGCATGTGTGAGGCACTGGGTTCGATCCTCAGCACCACATTAAAAAAAAAAAAATGGGCGTTATTGTGTCCACCTACAACTAAAACAAATATTTTTTTAAAATTAACAGAATATTCTTTATTATTTATATGCTTTAACTGAATACAATTTAGTTACCTGCTTATGAGAGCATAGCAAACAGACCTCAATTTCCATTCTCTATTTAAGTAGTTCCACTGCCATTTGCATTTTTCACGTCTACATGGTAATCTAATTTTACTCTTATTTTTAACAAAGAATATTCTTACATTTTTAAGAATATCCCTGCAACTGCCATGATTAGGAACTGTGTAGGGGGACTCTGAGAATCTTTTAGCCATATAATTAGGTCAGGTTACAACTGCACAAAATAAAATACGTATACAACTGCTTATTAATGTCATGTTTTCAAAGATTGTTGATTTTCTCTGGGATATAGTTCTTTCCTAATAAAATAAAGTTGTTTCCTTAATGAATTTGTTTTTTTTACAAAAACCATGTGGTTCTACATTAGTTTTAAAATTGTTGACCTTTTGATTATTTTACACACAAGGTATTTCAAAGATCAAATGCAAAAATGATGGAAGAACTCTAAATTATCAGACACTATGTAAGTTTTAGACTATGGTCTTGTATCTTCTTCAGAAGTGTTTAGTCTCTTACCATTTACTGAAATGCATAGTTAGAGAATTGTGTATTGATTTTCAGTATATAATCCAGGTATTACTTCAAAAATGGCAGATACCAATTTTTAAATCTTATTTAGTTGATCTTGGGGGTGGTTTCTCCAAAATTAGACCTCATATTATGTGAAAAGATGTTTCTATAACAAGAAAACTTTACCAAAATTCATTTTGTTTTTCTAGCTTTAGTTTTTCACTTCTCTAAGTAAATTAGTCTTTCTGTGGAGTTATTTTAAAAAGACATCAATCTTCTCTGCCTTCTCACCCACTTTTGCACATCAAAAAATGCTGACTCTTGAGGACTGCAGGAACATGAGAATGGAACTGCTTTGTTCTTCCTGTGGGAACTAAGCCAAATTCTGCATTAACTTATGGATTTGAATTTTCTTAAATAGGAAAATTTTATGTAGTACAAAGTCTCCTGCTTTTACTTTTTATCAACTCTGGAGTCAAGAGAAATATAATGACCAATGATCAGATCTTATATTCTTGTGGATATGATTGTTTTTAGTCTGAGCTCATTTCTACTTATTTTTTTTTGTTTTAAACAAGTTCCACCTTTGTATGTAAGACTCTGCCAAGTGCAATACAATTTCAGAGTTATGAAAAATTAACTCTGGCCTTGAGAAATATACAAGCTAATGTGGAAAAATAGGGGAGGAGAGAATATGTGAATCCCAGTCCTTATGTGTCAGGGCAGTAAATAATGCTGTCTAATCAAGGCTTCCTGAGAGATAGAAGCTGGTGCTAGCAAAGTGTACTGGAGAAATCACTTGCAGCTGGATTGATCTGAAAAAGCACCAAGTCAGAGTTGGCAAGCTGAAAACAGCTTGAAACAATAGAATGTTTATAGGTGAAGAATCTAGCAAGAGGAGAAAGGAGGGAATCCTGGCAGGTAGGTGCACAGACATAAATAAAGGTAGAGGAAGGATAGGGGAAGATAGACCTGAAAATTAACATAAGCCAGAGCAAAGGGGCTGGGGATGTGGCTCAAATGGTAGCGTGCTCGCCTGGCATGCGTGCAGCCCGGGTTCGATCCTCAGCACCACATACAAACAAAGATGTTGTGTCTGCCGGAAAAAAAAAAAATAAATAAAGCCAGAGCAAAGACATCATCATAAAGATTAGGAGTTTGTATTCCAGAATTTTGTTAAACAGGAAGA